TGGTGGTGCGATGGGCTCCCCCCCGCGGCGAGATGTGAGCGTACTGGCGGCCCTCTGCAGCATCAGGTGCAACCAAAAGAGTGAGTGCACGGGTGGATCTCGCGCCGGGCAGAGGCATCAGCTCGAGCAGTACCGCGTGCACGGCGATCAGCGCGACGGCGGCGCCCCGGCCGTCGGGGCGCGTGTTTGCGCCACCCAGGTAGTAAAACCAGCAAGCTGAGCGCCAAGGAAGGCGGGTTGGCGGCGGCGGCCGAGGGTGGTGGGTGGTGGGTGAGGGAGTGGTGCGGGAAGGGTTGACGGCGCACCTCCACCCACCTGCGCGGGCATCGTGAGGAGCGAGCCGCCGTGGTTTAGCAAGCCCTTGGCGGCGTGGTCCAGCAGCATCGTGCCCACGCCGACGGAGAGAAAGAGGTGATGCGTGGTCCACACCAGTGCCGGTGGGCCCTTTCTTCGTCGCCCCGTCGAACCCGTGCCAAAGAAGGCCACGTCCGCAAGGAGCAGCAGCTGCAGCGCTCGGTAGATGCGCCGCCGCTGCCGAGCGAGCGCCGCAGCGGCAGAGGCGCGGAGTTCCAGCAGGCGATCAAGCACCGACGACGAATCGGGGCCGTGCTCGGTGCGCCCACGAGCGACGCATGCGCTGCCGGTGACCACATCCGAGCCATTGAGGAAGCCAAAGCAGTGCCCGCTGTAGGTCTGGATCTCTCTCCTGCGCGATCCGCCCTCGACAGGCGGAAATTCATAGCAGTGATTCTTGCTGGGAGCAGCGCCTCGCCCGCGGGGCAGCCAGCAGAGGGACTCGTGGCCCTCGCCAGCCACGAACGTGGCAGTCGTCGCCTCTGGGGCGCGGTAGCGCTCGAAGTCGCTGAAAATCACATGCGTGACAGCAGGACCAACGATCGCGGCGCCGAGAGCCGCCGTCGCAGCAGTTCGGATCGCATGCGATGGCTGGCGCTCGTATGACGGCATGGAGAGCGGCGGCGTCGGCGTGCGGATCCGCGCGCCTGAGGGGGACCACCTTCCGCCCCCGGGCGGGCAGGGCAAGTGGTCTACGAGCGAGTCCTGTGTACGGTCTGGGTGAACTCTGGGTGAAGTCTGGAAAAAAGTCAGTTTGCGGCTCACCTGATAGACGATTTGCAAGAGTTCATATGGACACACTACCACGATGGCTTGCGTGATCGCATTTACAGAACGTGCTTGCAGTCCCATATTCGTACCCTTTGCCTGACTGACGCAAATACAGACATTGTGCTCGACTGGATGGCGCACATGCTGCAGCATCCCAATATCAAACCACAAAAGGGCATCATCCTTGTTGGTCCACCTGGACGTGGGAAGACCCTCTTTGCTACGTTGCTCACGCAGCTCATGGGAGAAGACAGTGTGTACCGTACCAATACACTGAGACAGTTGGTGGAGGGATCTCACAATCACCATATGGAGGGCAAGACGTTCGTCCATTTGGAGGGGTGCGACCTCCGCAACGAGCTGTCCAACATCTGCACATTCATATCAGACCAAAGCATTCACATTCGGCGACCATTCCAACAGTCCTACATGCCACCTCCCCACTGAAAACGAAAATCTAAGTTTCAAATCTCGAATAAATCTCGAAGCACACTTGATGCTCACTTGGCAGGTAACATATGCGCCACGCCCCAACCGCTCCTCTGGTCGCCGCCGGCCTCCGCGGCGGCGGCGATGTCCCAGCGCCACCCATCGGCAAGCCCTCAGATCGATCGATCGGCGCTCAAAGTCGGCTTCAGATCCGAGAACGCTGCTGGCGCCGCCGCCGATCCCAGCGGCGACGCCAGCAGCTTCCTCTGCTCTCCAATGCGCCGAGAAGCGACGCGGGGGTGCTCGGCCCGCCGTGGACGACGAAGGATCCGCCGGGCGCGCGTCGGCCGGTCCGGTGGCACCCTCCGCGCGCGGCACCTGCCGGCGTCCCGACGACAGCCGTCGCGCCGCCGCTGATGGAGGGGCGGTCGGCGCCGCTGCCGCCGCGCCGCCGGTGGGAGGGGCACTGGTGGTGGCCTGGGCGGCCCTCCGCCGCCGCTCGCGGGGCGCCCGGGCAGCGGTGGCAGCCTGCGCTTCTTCTTTCTACTAAGCAAAATTCGAGCCAATTGAGGAAACTCAAGCGGGCAGGCTGGAAGCACTGAGGGACGGCCGATGGTCGCCCAGTGGCAGGCCTGATCTTAGAATCGCTCCCTCTGAGACTATGATTACGACGAATCGAATCTCTGTCAGTCGCGCGTCGACAGATTTAGGACAGATCCCACGTCCGCCGAATCATGCAAACGCCCTCCACAACCTCTCAAACTCGCGAGTATACTCTCCGATGAGGCCCGGCGCACCGCTCGTGATGGCCACATTCTCGTAGTTCGTAAGCACTGCCGCCCGCGTCCAGTT